ATTGCAAACAAATGCCATCATCTGTCTGTCAATGACCAAATTTTGCCTCTTCAGACTTTCAGATTATTATACATATCAGTTACAGCTATCATGTAATGAGCATTTCTTCTGTATCAGGCATTATCTTAAGTGTCTTATGTAAGCATTATTTCACTTAACCTGTTTAACATCCCTGTGACTTAAGTAGTCATACCACCATTTTACAGGTGTAGAAACTAAAGCTTAAAGAGATGAAGAAACTAACTTGTTCAAGAGCACACAGCTTTTAGGATAAGTGATGGAGGTTGGATTTGAAACTGGATTCGTCTGACGCCAAGATCCATGTTCCTATGTGTTCCACTTCTCTGTTTCTGAAATATACCTTCCGCTTTTAGTGAGTTCACGGCATGTGTAAAAGTGCTCCTACAGTTAGAACTGTAGCACTACTGGAAGCAATAGAAGTAAGGAATGTTTGTTGTGATGGCGGCGGTGGTGGTGCATTGGTTTGTGTTTTCAAATAGCAGGACAAGGTTAGAGAATACTTGCTTCACGTAGATCTGATGTGAATGAGGCTGGCATTGGAGCTCCTTGGAATTTTCTGAACCACTTTCATCCATTTCTTGAAGCTTAATTAGAGTAAATGAGAGGTCTTAGCATTTATATGAGTTGTTTTTTTTTTTTCATATGGCCTTTTTAGTTCATGGATTTCATTTGTTAATTATGCATAGCAAGGGGAATAAGATTTTTAATTTATTCACATTTTTCAGCAAGGCAATAGAGATTTCATTTGAGAGATTTAGAATTAGGTTGGTGAATATTTTGTACTAAATCCTACAGACATTTTTCTGTTATATTTTGCTCCTTTTATACTTTCTACTGAGTCTTGAAAAATAGATATGTCAGTAAAACTGAGACTTTTTTCTGAAAATGTATTTCTTATCTTGTACAAGGTTACTAGCAAAACACTTTTTCAATTAGCAGCCTTTTAACAAGAACAGTATCCTGTACAATGACAGAATCTAATCAGTTGGCATTCCCAACCCTGAGAAATAGTGATTGATGCTTACTTGAGAATGGTGTTTAAGTACTCATGAGTTAGTGTTTTAAAATGTTTAATGAGGTTTGACAAGTATAAAGTATTGTTAATCACAGTTATTTAAAAGATTTTTTTTAACCCAACCTTAAATTTGTTCCTATTGCTTTTGTTCTTTTAATTATTTTGGATTTTTTTTTGTAAGAATAGGATAATAAGAATGCATCCCACTTTCAAAAGAGTTCTCTCACCAACTCTGACATTTTTAGGAGAGTTAAACAACGTCTTGAAGTTTTTCTATCTTTCACTCTAGTAAAACTAAAGATTGTTGATATGAAGCCATCACTAAGATGTCCCTTTCTCTTTTTAAATTATTTCTTAAAGAGAAAGAATTAAACAGACATGTGTTTCCAATCCCTAATTTTCTAAAGCCAGAGATTTACAGTAAAAACATCAAAAGCCCCAGCCTTGGTAGACTGGTTGATACTGCTGCTTGACAGCCTGACCCCACATGGGAGGCTCTGGTTGGATTCCTGGCCTACCCTAAATACCCAGTGTGGTGTGCACGCCTTGATCTCAGCTACTCTAGAAGCTGAGGCAGGAATGGAAAACATAGCCTGGTCTTATCTAAATGAGCCAGGGTCAAAAAAAGCTTGTAGACCCAGCTACTCAGGAGGCTGAGGCAAAAGGATCGTGACATTGTGAGACTATGTCTAAAACAAAAAAGGAGGACAGTTGTTATTATTAGAACAAGGAAGAAATTCAATTGCAAGTTACTGGTGGTCATGTTTTTCATCTTAATACACTTATAGTAAGGATCTCTAATGACAGCACCCAAAAGCTAAATAGCCCTTTAGACTGATAATACACGATTCCAACTGAATCTTGGTGACTATTCATCAGTTGAGACTTGACAGTAGTTAAATATACATACACATTAGTCTCCCTTCTGTCCTCTGCAGCTTGCCTCTCTCATGTAACTTATCAAAAATCTAACAGCTTACTACTATCAGGGCCTGAATATATGTCTTTTCACATTATCTTTTTTTTTTTCTTCCTGAGTTACAACTTTATTTCAATTCTGCCTTTCCTGGATTTTTTTTAATAGTGTTAATTTTTATTGAGATATAGTTTATATATCATGAAATTCATTGCTTCAATGTATATAATTCAGTGGTTTTTAGTATATTCACAGGATTGTGCAACCATCATCATTATCTAATTCCAGAACATTTTCATCACCCCCAAAAAGAGACCCCATGTTTGTTAGTAGTTATTTACACTCTCCCCTCTACTACCTCCTCATCACCACCAATTTCTGTCCCTATAGATTTGTCCATTCGGGACATTACATATAAATGGGCTCATACAATATGTGACCTTTTAGCCTATCTTCTTTCTTTTAGCAGTGCTTTTGAAGTTCATCCATGTTGTAGCATATATCAGTACTTCATTCTTTTTATGGTTGAATAATATTAAGTTATATAGAGATATATAATATTTTGTTTATATATTCATCAGTTGGTGGACACGGATTATTTCTACTTTTTGGCTATTAGGAATAATTCTACACAAAACATTGTTGTGTAAGTTTTTGTGTGAGTGTGTACTTTCTTTTCTCTTAGAAGTTGAATTTGTTGGTTCATATGGTAAGTCTGTGTTTAGCATTTTTAGGGAATGCCAGACTGTGTTCCAAAGTAGCCACCAATTTATGTTTACTAACAGTGTACAGAATTGCAATTTCTCCATATCTTCTATTTTTATTATCTGATTTTTAAAAATTATTACAGCTATTCTAGTGGATGTGAAATGGTACTTCATTGTGGTTTTTATTTGCAGTTCCTTAGTGATTAATGATGTTGAGCATCTTTTCATATGCTTATTGACCATTCCTGTGTCTTTGGAGAAATATCTGTTCAAACCTTTTACCCATTTAATTAGGTTATTTGTCTTTTTATTGTTGAGTTGTGTTCTTTATATTTTCTTATCAGATTCATGATTTGCAAATATTTTCTGTCATTCTGTAGGTTGTCTCTTTACTATTTCAACGGTGTCTTTTGATGAACAAAAGTTTTTAATTTCGATGAAGTCTTATTTATCTGTTGTTTCTTTTGTTGATTGTGCTTTCGGTGTCACATTGCATAGTCTTTTCTTCCTTGAAGAACAAAACAAACACTAAACCAGGAATGAAAAGACAGGGCTTCTCTTCCCAACTTTGCAATTACATGAATGTGTGACTTTAGTCAAGCATTTAAACTGATTCAGATCTGTTTCCACATCTATAAGAAGAAGCATGGTTCAGCAAGGTAGGCACTGAGTAAATTTTTGTGAATAAATTGCCTTTACGAAACCTCAAAATTAGTAGTTTTCAACCTGGGGCAATTTTGCTCCTTGGGTGACATTTGACAGTCACTGGAGACAACTTTGGTGCATGACTGGGGAAGGATGCTATTGGACTCTAGTAGTTAGAGGACAGGGATACTGCCAAACATCCTACAATGCACAGGACAGCCCTTACAATAAAGAACTATCCAGCCCAGAATTACCATAATGCTAAGACTGAGAAACCCTGTTCTAAAGTTACAATTCTAGTATTCCAGTTTAATTTAAATGGTAGTATTTGAGATTGTGAGTAGTTCCAAATAGTTTTGTACTCTTAACCTATTGCTGGGAATATTAGCCTAAACAAGGGCAATAGAAGGAAGAAGTAGAATGAGAATTTAGTTTTTTTAAGAGAAAATTATATTTTTCAAGCAGGAGATTTCTGGACATATTTTTGGGGCCATTTTAAACTATTTTGTCTTTGAACATGAACAAAAAATATTTCAATGTAGACTCCTCCAGGCAAAGCCTTATAGATGTGTTCTTGTTATTGAATCTTTTTCTTTAAGGTTTCTGGAACAAAATAGTTCATGTGAAATAGTTGGTACATGTTATGAAGTATATCTAATCAATCATAATAGGAGAAAAACAACAGAAATTGGTAGAAGGAATTTGCAGTTGATATATCTCTGTATTAGTGATTTTTCAAAACTTGAAGTTAATATTATTATTTCAGCTGATCACTTTACTACTGGAATGTACTCATTCACTTGAGTTCCACAAATAACTATCCTATCTGAAACAATACAGAAAATAGTTTGAAATATGTTTCAGTATTTCAAAAGATCTTGGCATATAAAAGCTATTAAACTTGCAGGTATCTCTTTTCTGTGATAAATTGCTGATTGTTTCATGCCCTGCATCATTAGATGTAATCATTACCACTAGCACCACAACTTCCACCATCATCTTAATACACTTAAATTTCTTGATTATAATGTATCAGGTTCTGTTCTAAGTGCTATAATGCATATCTCATTTTTTCTCGTGAAGATCCTATGAAGTAGTTTTATTTTTTAATCTCATTTTGCAGATAACAGAAGAGCATACAACAATGTGGCAAAATTGTTGAGACATATTTATATTGGGCCTTTGTTTATATATAAAGTGTATTTGATAGTTCAACAATGGAGAAAGTATGCTTACTGTAAAATCTGTTACATTAATGTCCCTAATTGTCTGGCATCCTAGGTAGTGGCCATTGAAGACTGAGTTATTCCCAACTTTGTTTCAATAAGAGATGTTTTAGGATTAATAATTTGTCTCAAAATATATGTATGTACCTGAGGCTGTTATAATACCACCCCATCTCTGCCTATTTATATCATTTTAAAACTGTGCAACTTCTCTATTATATAAGTTTTTCTTTGACTTTGTTTCTATGTACAGGAAGCAGTGAAAGAAAACAATAAGAGAAGAGAAATGGAAGAGAAGACTAAGAGGGCAAAACTTGCAAAAGAGAAAGCTGAACAAGAAAAGTTGGAACGCCAGAAGAAAAAGAAACAACTCATTGACATAAACAAAGGTATGAAAGTGTTCCCAATCTTTTAAAAGATGCATAAATTGCAAAACAACTTCAGTTATTTGTTTTTGTGTTATAAGGTAAATCATTGTATTCTTTACAGAAAAAAACACAATATTTAGTTATCTGTGTCAAAAGTCTATCATGACACCATCTGTATTTCTGATCACCCTGCGCTTAGTGCTCAGAATTTTTGATAACCAGCACAAGGTGATAAGTACTTGAAATTGTGCTTTTCTTCTCATTTATTTTGCATATTACATTATGTTCTATGTGAGGGAAGAAGAGGAGAGGTAAAAAGAGAAAAACTGGTCTAGCCCTGTGGTTAAAGGAGCCATATCCCACATGGCCAACTGTATAGTTCAAGTCCTGTCTCCACCGGCTTGGAAACCATGCCGGGTACGTGTGTGTATGCCCAAAATCCCAATAGGATGGAGGAAGGGATTGCAACATGACCATGTCCTGTTGGGGGATGGTTCCTCTATCTTGTTAGAATTTGGAGCATACACAGACTCTTTCTGTATATGTGTGTGTGTGTGTATATGTTTCTCTCTGGCAAGCACATGTACCCTCTAGCAGTTGAAAAAAAGTTGAAAACTGGTATGAGGAGATGAGCCTTAGCTCTTAATTTCTTTTTATTGGCAGATATATGTTGACAGTACAAAAACAATTAAGTCTTCCTTGAAGGCTAGAATATTTCAAGTCATAATGAATATGGACAGCTATTATAAGTTGAAAAAATAAGGAAAGGCATCTTTTACAGCTCTGAGCATAAGTACAAAATGCTGGAACATCCACAGAGCATAAAGCATATTGTTTTCTTGCTTAACAAGAATGATTGTATATTATAGGTGGGCTGTTCGATTTGGTTTGGTTAGAAGAAAGTGATTGATTTAGGGTATCTGCACTCTGAAAATTTACATATGAGAAAACATAGCCTTTGCCACCTTACAGAATTTAAAAAGAAAGCAAATCAAAACAAAATCTAAATGAAGTACAAGATGATATGATTAGTGTAGACCATCTATTACTAAAGTCCACAATAATAAAAATTGCCAGCACCTTATAATATACCAAGTACTTTTCTAAGACTTTTTACATGTTTTAAGTTAATTCTCACAATATATCTACAAGTTAGATGCTATTAATATCTCATTTTACAGATAGTAAACTGAGGCTCATAAAAATTAAGGACCTTGCCCTTGGATATACAAATAGAAAGTATTAGCACCATGATTAGAATTCAATAGTCTGGCTATAGAATCTTTGCACTTAATCATGCAATTGTCAAAAGTATTAATTATTAGAATAATGTCAATAAGCATATATCACTTACTGTGCATGAAGAACTACTCTAGGAGTTTTACTCTTATGAGCCCATTTAATCCTCATAAAACCATAGTAGGAATATGCTACTATCTCATAGTAACATGACAAAGCTAAGGCATGGAGAAGTTAAGAACTTGCCCAAGGTTGCAAAGTAGTAAGAGATTTGAACTAGAGTTAATTATTAAGTATTATATTTTAAATGGTAATTATTAATCATTATCATTTATTGTATACTGATGCCTCTTACTGATTAATCTTCTGAAATGACATCTGTACTACTAAGTTTATTCTTCAGGGCCAGTAGGTGACATGGTGGTTAAGGCCCTGGACTCCCATGTGGCTGACTATGTTTTGAGTCCTAGACCTGGTGGCCTGAAAATCACACTGGGCACGTGTGCATATGTGCACAAAATCACAAGAGGAGAATGGAGGAGAACGGGTTGCAGTGTAGCCATACCCTCCATGGGGGTGTTTTCTCACTTTCCCTCTCTCAGTCCCTCTCCTTCAAGTGCACATACCCTATGGCAAAAGACTAAATAATAATAATTCTACATACTTCCAAAATATATCAATTTTTTTGGAATTCAGTATAGTTTATTTATTTTGTCCAGGAAATAAATATAATTTTAAGAGAGGGGGGAAAAAGTAATATTACATAAATTTGGGTAAAATAGAGTAATGTCAACATAATGTAGCATACAAACTTTCATCATTAAGATCAAGAGAACCCACCTTGACTACTGGTCCCTCAGGAGGTGAGTACTAGAACACAGATGGCAATGTGTATTCATAGGAAGTTATCTTAACTTAAAAGTTTATGAAGTCAATAAAAAAGTGTTGAAAGCTAGCTTCTTTATATGAATAGTGAAAGAAGAAACAAGTAGTAAGGATAAAAAGCTGGAAGGGCTAGAAGGGAACAGATGGGGAACTTCTTTTGTGCTGTGCTAAGGATCTTAACCCTGAAAGCTTATGGAAGCCTATAAATGTTTATAAACTAGAAAGTGATATACTCAGATAGGTTTCTTAGAAGCTGGTCAATTTTTTTTTTTTTTTAAATTTTGCCACAGGGCATGTGCACTCACTGGAGAGAGGAAAAAAAAGTAAGAAAGCACTCTCTATGGAGGATGGCCACACCACAATCCCTTCTCCTCCATTTCTTCTTTTGGGATTTTCAGACATGCACACACACATGCCTCTAGCATTTTTCAAGCTGCCAGGTCCAGGACTCAAACTTCACAGTTGGCCATACAGGACACAGCAGCCTTCACCACCACACCACCACCTTAGCTACCATGCTGACCCACACAAAGTTAGTCTTTTCTTCCCTCTCAGCTTTTTTTTTTTTAGATTGATTAATTGATTTAGATTTCCACAGGGCATTTGTGCTTGCCAGAGAGAGAAAGAAAACTGTCCCCCCAAGGAGAGTGGTCACACTGCCATCTTTCTTTCTCCATTTCTATATCCCCTCAGGATTTGAGGTATGCACACGCACACATGCCCAGTGTTTCAAGCTGCCAGGACTAGGATTCAGCCATTTGGGATCTGGATCCCATAACTACTTAGCTATAAGGCCAGCCCAGGTTCATTTTATTTTTGATTGACACACAATCACTACATTTATTATATTGTATTTAAAACACTTTATAAATGATTTATCATTCAATTAAAATAACAATAGTAAACCTATTACATGTTACAGTAAATAACTTTTTTTGAGAGAGAGATTATTTGCTATAGGGAGTGTGTGCTCACCAAAGTGACAGAAATCAAGAAATCACCCCCCAGGAGGATGGCCATGCCACAATCCCTTCTCCATTCTCCTCTTGGGATTTTGGAGGTACATGCACATGTGCCCGGCATGAATTTTAGGCCACCAGATCCGGGACTTGAACCACAGTCAACTATGTGGGAATCCAGCAATGTAACCCTTATGCCATCTGCTGGTCCCAATAAATAACATTTTTTAATGAAAAGTAAATAACCTAACGAAAAGGATTAGCGAGAAGAAAAAATGTTAGGTTTATATATCTCTTCCAAATATAGTTTAATTAAAGGCAGCTTGAGGACTGACCCTGTATGGTTGTCTCTCTCTGGTGAGCATTGCATGCCCTCTGGCAATTAAAAAAATAGGTCAATTTTCTTTCTTTCTTTCTTTCTTTCTTTCTTTCTTTCTTTCTTTCTTTCTTTCTTTCTTTCTTTCTTTTCTTTCTTTCTTTCTTTTTTCTTTTTTTGGTACGGCACATGCATTTGCCACAAAGACAGAGAAAGACAGAGGGACGGAAATTGAGAAATCACCCCCCAGGGGGGATGGCCATGCCACAATCCCTTCTCTGTTCTCCTCTTGGGATCTTGGGCATGCACGCGCCCAGCATGAGTTTAACCCACTGGGTCCGGGACTCAAACAGCAGTCGATTACATGGGAGTCCAGCAATGAAGCCATTATGCTAACTGCTGGTCCCAAAAGAGGTCAATTTTCATGCTGCTTCTGCATTCAATCTAATGCAGTTATCATTCATCATTTATCGTCTAGAAAACTTCACTCTATACTCATGAAAGAACGAGCAAGGAAAAGTCTTATTATAAACATAATTTTAATCTTGAAGATCTTCTGAAATTATTTCAGGGGGCCCCAGGAACCCCTAGCCCACACTTTGAGAATCTTTGGGATAAACAATTATTAAAAGCAAGGAGTTAGAAATGCAGTCTTTCTAACTTGGTACCGAGAACATAATCTTTCCCTCACACCACACCAATTCCTATGCACCCCGAAGTATTCATCCACCTTTCACTGTTTCTCTAAAAATATGCCATGACAGAAAAAGAAAGGACCTATTTTGATTGTGTCTGTAGTCTGTATTTTCATGTGCCCACATTTGGCTAATTACCTCTTTGAATGTCATTGAAGCTATAAGATAAATATCTAAATTGAGTTTTGTGCATATGCTTAGCTGAGTAATTTGAACATGAAAAACATACCTTTTATTTTATTTTTTTTAAAGGTTTTTGCCTTAGGGTGCATGCACTCCTGGGGCAGAGGCGACAGGCACGACTAGCAGGAAACTGAGAAATCACCCACTAGGGAGGATGGCCATACTGGAATCCTTTCTCTGCCAGGGTCTCATACACACACACACACACACACACACACACACACACACACACACAAACACACATGCCTGGAATGATTTTCAAGCCACTGGGTCTGGAACTTGAACCACAGTTATCCATGTGGGAGTCCAGCAATTTAACCACTGTACCACTTGCTGGACCCTAAAGACACACTTGAAAATAGAACGTATCTTTTATGTTTTGTTACTGTAGCCCTATTTACAGATCAATCAAGTATTAAACTGTTCTGTTAGCTTTTTGATTTGTGCCCCATAAATTACAAATATCTATTATTATCATTTATTGTAATATTATTTTAAACTTGGAATGTATGTGTATTAGTACTTATACATGTATTTCAAAAGGTGATCCTTGGAACCAGCAGTTAGTGTAATGGCTATGTCGCTGGACTCCCATGTAGTCGACCACGGTTTGAGTCCCAGACCCGGTAGCTTAAACTCATGCCAGGTGTGTGTGCGTGCGTGCCCAAGATCCCGAGAGGAGAATGGAGGACAAGGGATTGCAGTGTGGCCATCACCCCGGGGGATGATTTCTCACTTTCTATC